GTTGCAAAGTCAATCTGTCATTCTACGTGGAGCCTCGGCAACTCGGCTCCAGCAGGGAGTGCCTGAATTGTTGACAAATCTCCCCTGTCCTGTAGCGTGATGCATTGCAAACAGCAACAATAGATTGCGCTCTACAAGAGGAAGCTTGCTACAAAAAGAAAAATGTCAGGCACCTTTGATAAATATTTGCTTTAAAAACAGTCTGTCCCAAACAYGCCCAGGGCCAATCCACTGGGCAGACTTATGTAAGAGCTGAAATACATGCTGTAATTCATAGTCTGAATGTTAGTGGAACATTCTGACATTCTGATGGTTACAAAATCATTGCTTTATCATTGCTCAGGGTTAGATTTTTATATATATATATTTTTTTTCCTTGGCTTCCTTCTCTCTTTCCGCTCACATCAAGGCTGAACTTTCATGTGGGCTGGAGGGTAGATTCTTGCTAATTGGCTACATCAATTTCACTTGGTTTGTAACTGTGCAACACCTCATTGCATTTTAAATGTACCTGCATAATTTGGTCGCTCTGCTTGACAAAGGAGTTTTTTTTTTCCTGATCTAAATTATTCTCTCTGACTGTATTAATACATGATAAATTTCAGCCCATCAATGTTGCCATAAAAATACATTTCACGCAAATAAAAATTGTCAGGCGTTCGGAAAACCTAGCATTCATAACATTTCCAAAGGATTTGAAATAAACCCTTTATAAACATTTTACTGCTTTGTTGCTTGGCTGAATTTAAGAGCTATTCTATATTACTGATAAACACTAGTGACTATGCTGTGCACTGGGTGTAAAATATGAGATGTTTGGAAAAAAATAACTTTTTTGAAACAGGTCATTTTTTGTTTCAGTAAAATGGTGTAAAAATAATAAATTTTCAACCAATAATTGTGAAATAACCAAGGCACAGTCATTTCTTTATTTGCTAAGGTTGATTAGCTATAAAATCTGTCAAGTGGGTCATAAGATATGATGGTAACATGCAAACACACACACACACACACACACACACACACACACNCACACACACACACACACACACACACACACACACACACAATCTGGTACAGCTATCTTTATGGGGACCTGTCATTGACTTCCATTATTTTCTACAGCCTAACCCTGACCACCAACCCTAAGGCTAACCTCACAGGTACCTACTTGACCCTAAAACTAACCTAAATTCAATTTACACCTTAGTCCTAAACTTATTCCTCGACCCATCAACAGCATTTCCCCTTATGGGGACTAGACTTGGGTCCCCATAAGTACCAGTCAGGTCTCCTTAAGTAACATTAGGTCCCCACAAGTAGGTATGGATGCCAAAAAAACTGTTCCACAAGGTAGGGAATGGGTAAACCCATTATTTGTTCTTTTTAGCTTTTTAGCTACAGGCAATAAAAGATATGCTTTAAACTGTATTTATTAGCAGTGGGCATYGTTCAGATATGTAAACTTTTACTATAATATGTATTAAATAAATCATATTAGATGCAGGGTTGAAACAGTCTTGACTCATGAATTCCTGGTGTTAACATTCAGGACCTTAAACCTACATGTTCTCAATCTTAGAAAATGTGTCCTTTGGTAACCTGGATGCCTGATTCAGACAGATTTATTTACCCAAACCTCTGCAGACCCAGATGAACCGGGGTTACCAAATGTGGATAAGCCTCTATAGCACAGTGGTAGGTAACAAGATTTCACTGCAAGTAATCACTGCACCAGCAGGCTTCACTGATTAACGCCTTCAGCAACAGAGCAACATGGTTTCACATTTTAGGAAACCAGTTGTTTTCAGTGGAGCTATGACAGGTGAGCAAATAAGATTTAATAACCAAAACAAAACTGCTGAGACACAACAATACTGATGTCGTGCTGACTGCATGTCTTTCTTTTGTACCTGTAAAAAGTGACTGACTGAAGCTGCTTTTCTCAAACACTTCCTTTTTGTAACCCAAAGCAAACATTGTGACAATATTTATCAGTCTTATAACAAAGAATCTCATCAAACTCTTTATCTATCGTTGTAATGTKTATTTCAATATTTCTATAACTGTTACAGAAATAGTTTTTTATATAAATTTTGTTTCTGTATTTCTTCTCAAGGCCCGCCATTTAGTGGTTCATGGTCCACAGCAAGGTCTCAAAACCAAACTTGGCTGTTCCTTAAATTAAGGTATAGTTTTTCTGCATTTATGATCAAAAGTATTATTTAAAAAAGTGATCAGCTGCAAACCCTGATACAGTAAGGAATACTGCATGGAATGTTATATATATATATATATATATATATATTTTTTTTCCTTGGCTTCCTTCTCTCTTTCCGCTCACATCAAGGCTGAACTTTCATGTGGGCTGGAGGGTAGATTCTTGCTAATTGGCTACATCAATTTCACTTGGTTTGTAACTGTGCAACACCTCATTGCATTTTAAATGTACCTGCATAATTTGGTCGCTCTGCTTGACAAAGGAGTTTTTTTTTTCCTGATCTAAATTATTCTCTCTGACTGTATTAATACATGATAAATTTCAGCCCATCAATGTTGCCATAAAAATACATTTCACGCAAATAAAAATTGTCAGGCGTTCGGAAAACCTAGCATTCATAACATTTCCAAAGGATTTGAAATAAACCCTTTATAAACATTTTACTGCTTTGTTGCTTGGCTGAATTTAAGAGCTATTCTATATTACTGATAAACACTAGTGACTATGCTGTGCACTGGGTGTAAAATATGAGATGTTTGGAAAAAAATAACTTTTTTGAAACAGGTCATTTTTTGTTTCAGTAAAATGGTGTAAAAATAATAAATTTTCAACCAATAATTGTGAAATAACCAAGGCACAGTCATTTCTTTATTTGCTAAGGTTGATTAGCTATAAAATCTGTCAAGTGGGTCATAAGATATGATGGTAACATGCAAACACACACACACACACACACACACACACACACACNTTTAAATTCTATACCATAACAAAAGTAACTACAGTATGTCACCTTTAGCTGTTATTAAAATGTTGTTTATATGTTTAAATATAAAATAATTTGACTTCTTATCACATCTGTATCTAAAAGCCTTGAAACTGGCCTCTGTCTCTTTAAGAACTTCCTTCCGCTTATGTCCCACCCATTTCAGCACAGGGCCTGGTGTGTGTGTGTGTGTGTGTGCTCTGTGATGAGGAAGCTCAGCTTGGAGACACAGCCCAGAGGAGGAGCTGATCCCAAAAGGCCCAACTGGTCATTTTTGCCCCCCTGCCTGGCAGTGGCTGCGTCCGAACACTACCAGATTTCTCAAACATGTATGAATGAGTCAAAGCAAGCTTCTGGGCATATTTTTGATGAGAAGATAACATTATAACACGATATAAAACTCAAAAAAGTTGAATTTACATGATAGTGCCCCTTTAATAAATACTTACCATGTTTTTGATTCAAAAACATTGAATATAGAGTTGTGTGTGTCTCTTGGGACAAAAAGAACATGCTTGATACATATTTCATCAAAATGTTTTTTTAAATAGCACTTTATTGAAGGCTGTGATTAAGTAGCTGTAAAAATCCTTCAAAGAAACGGAAACAGTCTCCCAGCCAGTTACTGTAGATTTGAGTTGATGCTGTTATACAATACACTGAAATATTGTAATTTATTCTTTAACATCAGAAAGTTGCTTTTAAACCCATTTGAGATTGTTTTGATTAAAGTCAGTAGCAAAATTTGTCTGGCCCAGTTCTGGCCCACACAATCAGTTGTCCCAGATACCGCAAAGAATTTTGGCTCTTTAGTGGCCTAGATCTGTTTTAYTTTACAAAGGTGGTCAATGCATGGACCAACACCACATGAACAAAACCACGTCTGGGCCAGTTGTGACACTATCAGATTTGGGCCACATATACCAAACCACAACAAAGCATGTGACATCTTAAAAACAGTGCCAGCAGGGCCAGACCTGGCTTACATTCAATTAACAAACCATGCCAGCAGTCAGCCAACAGTGCCAGCTTGAACCAGATCTGGCCCACATTTGTCTGCTTTGTGGGATGTGTGTTTTTAAAAGATAGTTGCAGCCTCCAGGTCTGAAAAAATAAAACCAGTGCAAGGGYCAAACTCTTTCAAGTTCCTGTTAGTGACCTGGGAAAGAGACTTCTCTGGTTGGAAAAGGAAAAAAAAAATCAGTTTGTCTTCTTTCTTGACTTAAAGCTTCAGTGAAGACTTCCCTAATCACTAGCCTCAAGTGTTCTTCAACACAGCACGATAATAACTTTGTAAATTAGGCTCTCATTTAAAGTAAAACAGACAATAAAGCAGGATGTGCTTTAAGGTGGGACCTCGCTGTGACTGACAAAATGCGACTGTAGGGATATGAGCAGGATTAAGGCTGTCTCAGTCAAAATCCATCTTCTCCTTATTTTAACATGATGATGATATTTACGTATTAAGTTTAGTACATTTTAAATAATCCAAGGTGGCCATAGTAAAGGCTGTTTGCAGTTAAGATTTCTGTTTAAAGCCAAACTAACATTTACGTATTACATGTCTTCAAATAGCACAAAAAGGCCAAATATTATTTTTCTTTTTTATATTACCCACTTTTATGTCTCCAGATTAGCAAAATGCATAACTACATTTCAAGTAAAACAAAATGCTACATCCAAATGTTTTTTTATATATTCCCAATGAAAATAACCATGAGCAGTTATGTAAATTATATAATTTATCAAACTAATTAGTATGAGTAAATGTATTCAGTCAACATACTCATCTTTATTTAACTCAAACAGCAGTAAATTACTGTACTGGAATTGAAAGTGCTACAAAGTTTTACCTATTAAGATGATGCTCTCTTCCTGTTACACAAATTTAAGCTTTGGAGCAGTTATCTGGTCCAATTTTCTAAAAAAAAATGTCTTTGGTCTTTTACTTTCAGCCGGACAGTTCCTTAAACACATTTTAATTGACCTAAATATGGAAAACATCCAACTCACACTGTACATTAAGCTGGATTGAGGAGTTGGTCATTCCCACCACATTCTCTGCGATGCAGGTCAGCTGGAAGTTGTTGTCGTCTCGGCTGATGTTGAAAAGCGTCAGGTTGATGGAGTGGATGTTCGGCCAGTAAACATTCGACTGTTAGCAGAAATGAGGAGATACAGATGAAGAGAAGAGAAACACTGCTAGGTACGTGAACAATACACTGCAAAGCCCATTTTATTACACTGCTGGGGGTTGAAATTTTAATTACCTCATTAAAACTAAGGTTAATTATTCATTAGTTAAAATCCTGTTGAAGGAAACTGAATGCAGTCAAGAAGCACAGACTAGATGTGGGAATTAACCACCTCACTGATCCAGGGGGTCTTACTAAAATAGGTTTAGCACAGCAGGAGGCAGGTTGAAATGTATATTAGACCTATATTTGAGCACTTCAGGTGGCCAAATATAATAATCCATTTCCTGTCTTCATTCAGTCGGTCTGGTTCTCACTGACACACTCATATTATTACAGTACATGTATGTGTAAGGCTGACATGACTTTAATCCGTAAATTTACTGATGATTATTAATCCTAAATGTAAACCTCACTTCAATTTCTTGCTGTTTCTTTGCAGTTCTGAGACCTGGAGTTGGTGTCAGGGAGTCAGGCGTACTGAAGGTCTGAGAGGGAATTCAGTTCAACAAAAGTGGCTTTTTTCTGATCAGGGAATTATTCTAGAAATCGATAAACTGTGCATAAAAAGTATGTCCAACATCAAGTAGTTTGTGAGTCACTGTTCTGAAGAAATTTGTGTCAATTAGGAATTCATCAACATTTTGGTCCTTTTGTGGAGCCAGAATTGATTAATTTAGAAGGAGCAATCAGAAAACAGAATGTAAAAACTCATTGGACAAACATTTATTTATTACAGAGTCTAATTTGGGATATTTTTTTAAGAATTTAGGATTTTTTTTAAAGACCACAAAGAAAGTACATCTTGGTGTAATGTCAGAAAACTTTGTTGACTATTTTTCTTAAAATGGGCTGAGTTTGTTTTTTTAAAAACAAAAGTCCATTGGAGCTAGCACCTAGCATGCTTAATAGCTTAGCATTTGAAGAGGAGTGATGAGTGCAATCATTCACATTTGCATTTATCTTTGTGAAACTCTGTCAATTTTTTGCTTTATACTGATCAGTAGCAATTTTTTTATGATTCCCACATGACATTAACCAAATACTTAAGATTCCAGACAGTAAATCACAGAGCGAGGCTTGCTCTCACTGTTCATCTTTTCAAACCAGTCTGATACATCTAATGCCCCCTTCACACACGATGACAACCCCGCTACCCTCTCCATGACATTCATGGCCTACTAGAATGTGGCAAGATTGCCGCAAACTTGAAAAATATATGTCAGTCATACATTTTCTTGTCAAAACCACTCTATACATCCACACCCATACCCCAGGTCCTGTAGCTTAGTGTTGGAAGATCATGCTAGTCTAATATGGTACTGCTGACACAGGTCTGCACTAAGTTGTTTTAAAAACCACAGCTGAAGCCTAGACTTGATACCAGTGTGACCAGTCCTGCTTCAAAATCACAATGACCAAGCCATGCCGGTGCACGTGAACCCTGCATCATAAATAATACCATGCCTCACCAGGACACCCAAAACATTGATGCCACAGTGATAAACCACCACAGCATTGCTATGAAAGTTTTGTGAATTTTAAAGCTATTTTGAACTTGTCATGCTCTATTACACCAAACAAGAAGCCCATTGTGTTCTTAATACACCACTGAAGACATTGCCAAAACCCTGAAAAAAAGAATCCCATGCTCTGAATGACTGTTTATGGCACAGCAGGGTTGTCATTGGGTATGGAGGGAATTGATCCTTTATTAAATAAGAAAACATTTTTGAGTGATTTGAAAACTTTCTCAACATGAGTCTGGAGTTTTTGACAGAGTAAAATGAAATTTTAAACCAACAGTAATGCAGGCTTAATTAAACCTCAACTATGTTGTATATTCAGGCATCCCTTTGTTACGGTCAAAACTGTTGTTCCTCTATCACGCATATTGGAAAAAAAATCACATCAGTTTAATCACACTTGAAATCGGCAAATGACTAGTGTAGTAGCTGTTGATGGGACAATAAAATAAGAAAAATAATAATTTGATTTGAATGTAATGGCTCACCTTTTAAGGCCCAATTTAAAGACAATGATAGTGCTTAAAATTTAGTATCCTAAAAAAACATCAAATGGATTAATGAGCAAAACACARTAAACTAGTAATAAATATGCACACAAATGGGAGTAAACACACAAATGAGATGTAGTGCTGAAAATATTTTACAACACTGTTTTTGTGAGACTTCTGGTTCAAACTCACAGGCAGCTTTAACATAGGATTGGCAATCATCACTAATATCTGTTTTAATCTGACCAAGTTCTGACAGGTCCTTCAGTTCAGAGCTGTCCTCCTGGTGTCCAACAGCCTCAAATTGTAAYATTATTCACCAGCAATCAAACTTCACACACTGTACAAGCACTGRACAGCATAGAGACAAAAAATGTTCAACCAGGAAGGAAAATGACTACACTTATAAAAGTTTAGTAAGAAAAAAATAAAAAATGAATAAACTCTAGCATTACTAGACTTAATCAGCTCAAAGCCAGTCCAAATAAATTTTGTTCAAAATCTTCTAAATAAAGAGCAGGGGCAGGCATTATGACTAATTCTCAAACTGAATTTGAATAAAGTGGTCTGAATATAAATTGACAGGATTCCTTCGATTTGACAACACCTTGAGTCAAACAAGACATGCTTGAAGGAAACTGATCAAAATAAGAGGGCAAAACAAAAGAAAGAAGAAAAAAGCAATGCAGCTTTTGACAATTGAAAATATAAATGGTTCTTAAATAGTTTTAGTTAATTAGCATAGTTAAAACTCTATATCTTAAATATTGTATGTGTTTTTCTTCTAGTTATTTTCAGTGATAGCAAAGCGTGTGCGTTTCTGACCAGGTGTGTGTTGATGGAGTGCAGGCTGCCGACAGTCCAGTCCACTTCAGGCAGCGGTGATCCTGAGCCGTTGCAGCTCACCGTCACATTGTCCCCCTCTGTCACCAAAACACTGCTGTGGCTCACACTTATCTCTGGGAGGTCTGAAAAACAACAACAACAACAAAAGAAAAATCACAGATTTAAAACAGTTTATGTTCATGCTGACATGCAAGTGTCACTTTCAGTGCTCATAAATTTTGACATTAAATCAATTATTCATCTTATATAATAATCACCTTTATTAAAACATTAGCACAAAAGAGACAMTGGTGAACACAGCAGGTGTATCAAGGATGAGTCACCACATAGATGTAGCACTGCAGAGTCTGTGAGACTCAACACACAGCTCCTCATCACATCCACCTGCTGAACTCTGCCACTCCTCCTCCTCTTTCTATCTCAACTTGTCTCCTGATTTGTGACCTTTTCCTTTCCTTTTCCCTGCTCATGCTTTGTATTTTCCTTTTTATACTCCTCCTCCACCTCCTTCACCCTGTTTTCTTACCACAGTTGTTGATGTACATGTTGTGCAGTCGTATCTTGGAGGCTCCGTTCCTGCAGTACAGCTGCTGCGTGTGAAGCCCTGCCTCTCCCCTCTGCTGCCACAGCTGGATCCAGCGGATGTCGCAGCTGCATTCAAACACCACTCCATCCAGACGTCTGGAAATACAACCGAGAAGCAGCAGCACTGATGACAACAGCAACAGCAGCACATCAATTTCACAAGAAACAAGATCCATGTTAGTGTTTCACTCTGAGCCAGTTTATTCCTAATAAATAACCATGCAGAGGTTGTGAAAATATCAATTTACTGCATATAAATAAAAATCACCGAAATGAATCAATTTAAATAATTAAAACTCTGTAAAACTCAGTTCTTCTTTTTTTATTTTCCAAAAATGTTTGTAACTAGCCACCTTATTATTTTATTTTGATAAAGGGATGAAGGTTTAACTACCTCCATTCCATCATGGGGCTCTAGGGGTTGCTTTCCTTAACCCATTACACTGTGTAAAAATAGAATTAACATTGACAAAACCAGAAGTGACTTTACCGCCACTAAAAGAAACAAAAGTCTAAAAAAATCACAAGAAAATTTCCACATTTACAGTTAAATACCAAACATGGTAAATTGTTTGTTACAGCAATATTAAACATTWGTGTAACTGTGTAGATTAGTTTTTTTAAGATTTTTTTTTTCCTGCATGAATGTTCTGGACAAATTAGCATTATGCAAGCAGTTTTCTATGGGTTTAGACAGTATAGTAACAGCTAATTAGCATCAGGCAAATGCCTAATTCTAATAAAATTTGGATTAATGTTGACTGTTATTGACTGTAATATTTTAGAGAAGTAAACTTAATATTCATATTGTATTATTTGATGGTTTAGATTCAGCACAGCTTTAGTTGTGATTTGCTCACATAAATTACTATGAGGTTCAAACATATGTTTATACATTTGTGTTTATGAATGTTATAAACGACATGGGGAGGAACGAGGAGTGGGGGTGCTCAGCTTGGCTTGAAGTTAGAAAAGGGAGCTTTTGGTGGGGGGGAGTAGGTAACTATTGATTTAAACCACAAATTTTGTTTTCTTTTCATATTTTGCCACAGACATTCTGCATTTTTTATTTAACATTTTGTACACTTCTGAAGTGGAGGTGACCTGCAGCTTAATAGTTTTTTTTTTTAGTTCTGAGCTGCTGTATGATCATACTGTTCACAATAARTCTTTTTAAAAGTGTTTAATGTAACGTATTTTTTTATTATATCGAATATCCACAAAAAAACTTGAGAATTGATRACTTTCAACAGGTAACTATTTTCAAAGGTAACTTAATTTACTGTTAATACAAAGACATTCTTGTCAAAATATGCAATAGCCAAGAAGAAAGGAACTTGAGTTCTTGTTGAATGTGGTCATTGATTATATGCCTTGTATGCAAGAAAAAAAAATCACTTTAGTGTTTTCACATGAGGAATGAGAGCAGACAAACCAGCATCAAAGCAACCATTTTTATCTATATCATTAACAATGCCCACATCCATAATTTCATCATTTAGAAGAAAAAAAGACTAGAAAGATCAGACATCTAAATCATAGTGAGACCTCAAAAAAAAAAAAAAAAAGGCCACCACAGATTTATGTTTCCTAATGTTTTCTAATGGTGAGATCTGCTCTTGTTATCAGACATGAAGGAAGCAGGCGATCAGTCTCAGGCTGCATTAGCAGCAGACAAGTATCATTAGGTTTCTGTCTATATATTTCATCTTCACTGCAATGTGAAGCAAAAAGCCACATTATTCAACTCTGTACGACACCTTTGCATTTTGCATATGTTCCATTTGGAAGTTGTGATTGGCCAATTTTGTCAAGATGAATGTCTGCCCAAATGCCCTTGACAAAGGTCAATGAGAGATTGCAGAAGTGATGRATAATGTATGAGCAGAGTCCAGTGTGCTTATAAAGTCTGCAGAAGAGAGTCCAACAGGTGGATCTCTGGGACTGCTTGACTATATTTTGTAGTGAAAACAGACCTTCCTACTCATTAAATTAGTTTCCAGCCACATAGTTCAATTTTATGCAACAATTGAGTAACTTTGTTTCYTTCAGTTGTAATGAAAATGCTGTATGTATCAACAATAAATTTGACTTTGCATAGACTATCTACACACCACGGAATGGGCCTCTGTCTGATTAAGAACCTCCTGCTGTTTATGACACTCCCACTTTAGCATGTCTTCACAACAATGGTTTGTGCGGTTTACAACCTTTTGTAGAATATAAGTCCAACCACTTTTGTAAAGAAAAAAAAGAATAGTCACCTCCTTGGCATTCAAAAATTCAATGCATGATGAAGGCATGCTTTAAACCAAAAAGGACTGGACTGATAAACAATTAGTATTACAAGCTCAACAGACATGCAGTTAAGTGTTGCTGCCACTATAATGGAGCTGTGTAGGGAGGCACGGGGGAGGGGTGCTCTGTAGTGCGGTGGCTGTTCCACGTATTATCTTTGAGTAAATAGGAGGTGCTTTGTACCARCAAGCATTTAGGAAGCACCACATGGCTACCACAGGAGGTTCAAGGATCTCTCTAACAYGCATGAATGAATCAAAACAACACTCTGGGTGTGTTTCTGATGAGGGAATGACATTATAACATGATATAAAGCTCAAAAAATCGATTTTGCATAATATTCCCACTTTGAATGACAATTTATCCTTTAAACTAACCAAGGCTGTCATTATAATAGCTGGATATTTAAGGATGACACTAATTTGTTTCACTAAATGAGCTCTAAGCTGCTTTTAGTCCTGTTTTGATGATCTAGCATCATTGAACCATTCCATATTTTTCATAAAAATACCTTGAAAATTCATCTTTCAAACAATATACATTTCTTCCATTAGCTCTCAGACAACTAATTATCAGAGACATTTTCTCAGATATGTGACAAATAACCAGCAACAAGTTAACTGAGTACTTGGAGTGAAACAGCACCACAATTACCAATTAACACTGAAGGATGCTGTACAATTTTACTGTGATCCGAGCACATTCTAACAGGTCCTAAAGACTGTGTAGAGTGTAGTGGGCTTTTATACGGTTAGAAGCAGTCAGCTCAAAATTGTGATATTTATCTTTTTTTAATTTTGACATTTATCATATTTGTTGTGTTCTACAAGTTTAGAAATGGAATTTTCTCAGTAAAATAGAGAAAGTTGAACCTTTTTTCAATTATTCTGAAAATAAATCAACAAACAAAAAAGAATGAAAGAAAACAGAAAAAAAAATAACATCTGTTTTTGGCAGCCGGACCTCAAACAAATTAAACAGCTTGGTCATAATTAGAAGAAAGATCTTGAAATCCACACTAAATGATTGAGAAACTTTAACCCTATAAGCAAATGCTGTTGATGACCTCATACATTAAACAGATTTAATAAAGGTAAAATCTAAAAAAACAAACAAACAAAAAAACAAATGTATTGAATCCATTCTCCCAGATGTTTGTTATGCGTGTAATAAGAATGGGTGTTCTTAAACGCAAGCTCCTGTGTTTATCACTGACAATGGCAGTAAAACTGATTCTGATTGTGATTGTCTGTATGTCTTAAAGGTCTAAAAAGAATTAAAAACCAATGTTGTAATTTGATCAATATATAAAATAAAAAAAGTAAACTGTAAACTTACTCATATGAATTGAAGATAATTAGCAATTTAATTCAAATAAACTATTTTACAGATGCAAGTGTATTCATCATGTTCACAAACCTTCAGATTGGATACCAAAATCAGTGACCAACCTTATGATTTCTAAGGAAAATGTGGTAAAGACCAAGGCAGAGGTGCACATTTCAAGGTGAAAGGTTTTCATTGATTGCTGAGTCAGCAAACCGCATGGGAGTGAAAGCCAGTAGAGCGATACAGCCGGGGTTTTCCCCCTTCCACTGTAATTATGGTGATTATTAATAATAACCACATGCCTCTGGGCAGAGCTGATTGGCATCTGCAGAGATTCTCTACAGCTGAAAAAAGAGACAACCCTGCATTTTTTAAAAATACCCACGCAGCAAACTGCAGTCAAAGTTACAGTACTAAAACCAGAGCAGGCAAAGAAACAACAAAGGCAAAGAGCTAACTGACAGCTGGAAGCTGATAAATGTCTGAAGGAGAGCAGATTAGATGGAGAAAGAAACCAAAGCAAACAGCGGTGTGACCTTGGATACAGAGAGCTAGCTAGCAGCATGGTGTTTCCTTGAAGCTGGCTAACAGTCCACCCTGCTACTCCTGAAGAGACGTAATGATCACCACTGGAGGCTGTTCTTTCTGGGAAATGTAAACACAGGTGCTTTGGCTTTGGAGTCGCAGATCACAAACAATAAGAAAACTCGAAGTTGCACACTGGCTTTAATCTCAGCTCAAACGCACCGCTTAGTCTTCCTTCGATTTGTCAGGTTTTTTACGTGCTGTAAGTTTATTAACTCTTTGTGACACCGTTTCACCACAGTATCACAGATCTAATATTTGATTGGGTGCTTCTGTTTGTTGTATTTTTGCATCAAGATGAGTAGGTTATAGCTAAAGCAAGTCTTTCTGAAAGTCTTTAAGGCACCCTTTCAGGGTTCGAGCAAATATAAACTTGAGTTCACACATCTAATTTCAAACACTTCAGAACAAGACAGCTGGGTTTTTTTCTTTAGTCCCGTGGAAATGGAGACATCAGCCAGAGCTGCCAAAGCTCATGCACTGAGCATGAGACTTACACAATTCACACTTTTCCTTTTCTCACACTCTTCTGCCACAGACCAGTTTTTTTTTTCATGCAGTGGGAAAAAAAATATAAATTTATATCCGAAGGTGTTTCAAGACAAAAAGACTGACGCTGTGCATACAGACAGAAAAGAGGCAGCTGAAGTTAAAAATCAGGAGGACAAGCCTAACCACGGCTCCATAACCATCAGAGCTGGAAACAGTAAAGAAAACCTAACACAACTAACTCCAGAAGGACAATGTATTAGTGTTGCATGTAAATTTGCATTATTTATTGTTATAATATAAATAGTTCTCCTTGATGGAATGCAATAATTTAAATAAGGATTTCAAGAGATTTGTTAGCTCAGTTTCCCACATAGCAGACAGGTGTGGGCCAG